TATCAAAACATGTTGTGAGTAAATGAATAAGCAAAGAAAAAAAAACAATTTCATAAGTTCGTTTTTTTTTCTTTAGCGTTTACCTGATTCACCGCCTTTAACAAATGAATCAATGAAACATTCATCTTCAATTGGTCATATTCCAACTTCAAAGGATCATATTGATTATAAGTTGTCACCACCTATTCCACCTCCTCCACCAACAAGAGATAGTTCATTTGCTGTAGCTAATAATATTAAACAATCATTAATGCAACGAGCCACGAAGTAAGATTAATTTTCAAATTTGAAAATATTTCAACATTAAATAGTTTTTTCAGTGATCATCAATTAATAAGTCCACCATTACCTCCTCCACCACCGTTAACTGAAACATCACCAACATCAAGTATTGTTGCAATACCTGTATCATCACTGCATGCTGTTGAACGAATAACGGCTGAATTAACACGCCGTGATGATTTATATATTAATGATGATACATCAAATCATCAAACACCATCTGTTATTGGTGCACAAGAAGTTTATTTAGATCCACGTTTTCGTACTAAACGTTTTCAACAACAAAAAGATAATATAAATGGTATTAATAAAGAAAATTTGAATAATGATTCAAGTGGTGTTACAACAGAAACCATGTCATTTCGAGATAAATTAAAATTTTTTCGTAAACCACCTGATCAACATGAATGATTTTGTTTCATTGTGGATTTTCTTTAATGTGCAATTTCATGTTTTTTTTCATCTTATGTCGTCTGTTTTGTATACTCTAATTCTTCATTCTCAGGCTTGTTTCTTCACTTTTCCTCTTGTATATATTTATGACTTCAGCTCTTTTTCGTTTCTAATACTATCCCTTATATCAAATTAACAAAAAAACTAAATTAGAATTTAGGTGTGGGATAATCTCTCATTCTCTTTTTTTTTTTGAAAATTAAATATATATCTATATCTTTATTAATATTGATATAATCGTTCAAAATAAACTACACTCTCTCACAAATATTTTCTTTTGTATTATGATAATTATGACTAATTGTTTTTGATAAACTGAAACATAGATGAATATAGTATTATATAAAATCAGATTCGATTGAATTCATCAATTAAACATGAAATATGATTAAATGATATTGCAACAATTGTTATTGAATCTCTAAATAATTGAATAATATAGCAAATAAATTAAGGAAATCATCAAAAGCAACTTTGACATGGTATTATTTATCAATTGTGATGGAGAGAGAATTTGTTGAAAAATATTTCAGCAAGGATACAATGCTATGTGTATTGACATGTATCAAGCTTAGAATGCTTTTTTTCTAAAAACAACATTTCTCAAAGAAAAGACACTCCTCTACATTGCTGTATTTCTTCAAATTATCCAAAATGCTAATTCAGTATATGGTATATACATTTTTTTCATTTACTGTAAATTTGAAAGTATGTATAAATTGAGAGGATTCGATCAGACGATCAAGATTTGCATATTGTAACGAAAAACCGATAAACAAGCTTTGGAAAAATGTCGTTCAGAAGACACATACTTCGTTTATTACAAAATGAAATTATTGAGTAGCATCCACTTTTCTAAAAGCTTCTTTAAATATTTCTTCTAGAAAATGTCAGGGAAAGCATTTGCGCAAGATCTCTGCATAACAAGCTGAAATACTTTTTTTTTTCTCAAACTTTAGAAAATAACAGCATATTTGTATAATTCAATTTCCTGTAAATATTTTAATCGCACTATTCAGCTTTCTAAGTATTACAACTTGATTTCTTTTGTATATACTCAATACTTTCTTCTTACTTATTGAATTCAATATTTTTGGTACATATATTTCTGAAGAACTGTACGTGATGCACTATAGGTCAATACGAAAAATATACAAAAATGTGATTTCATATCATTAAATATTGTGGAAAATTAAAGTAAAAATAAAAGTCATGTTTTTATTTCGTGTACGTCTTTAGATATATCCAGTCATAGATTAAATGAAATATACTCAAGATCAGCAAGATTTGTATTGTGTAGATTTCAAATTAAAATAGTTCGAATTATTTTTCAAAGGCTATAGTAAATGTGAAGACATATATGTACTTAATTTTATCTCTTTCAATACACTGAACTGTTGCCGTTGACGAGATAGATACTCACTCAACTCAGTTTTAATTTCATTCATTCTTGTTTTCTGTTTGTGATTAATATCTTTATCAGTGAGTGCTCTTACTCATTTTCTGTCCTGTTTTTTTTTATCCCTTAATTTATGTAACAATAGTCTTCGAGACTATTCCAATACACACGTCATCTGTTCGATTATATTCAAGTTCATTCGAAACTATCTATGACGTGTCAATTTATTGTTTCATTCAGGAAAAGTTAACTTTCTGTATCTATATTTGAATTTCGACTCTCAATGCTGAGACTATTATTTTTCATCGAACTCACGGAGGATTGATTTATTCTGGTGACGATTAACATTGCACGAGCAATATGTGCATTATAAAAAATAAACTAGGATATATTCACTGAGTACATTATATGTATAGTCGGCTTTTTTACATGAAAAAACATACTATTCAATAGAAGCTTGTGCATTGATGTTGAATGAATTATATTTACCGTCCTTGAATAGAATTTGTTGTACCAAAATTTAATACCCACTGGCAATATTCAGTAGTTGGTTCTGTTGTATTCTATGTTTCTTTTGGAGAATGATCGAATATTATTTTCATTTGGTTGCTTTTCTATTTTATAACATTTAACTTATGATAGAATAATATGGATCGATAGGATGAAATAATAAAAAGCATGTTTTTATTAGTTTCAATATTATTTTAAGAATATGCTAAAACTAAATATTTTTATGTAAAAAAAAAAAAAGATCAATGATTAAAAAAAATAGAAAAAACAATGGTAATTTGTTTATGTTGAAAACATGACTACGAAACAGGATTGAAAAGATGATGTTGACAGTTATAAGATAAAAAATAGAACATAAATGTGTCTGTAAGGCAGAGCATCAAGTATTCGATAAGACATTAGTTGTGCCGTTGTTGACATCTCGTGAAAAAAATGGTAAGAGCTATCATCATCTCTTATTCTCTCATAAAGTTATTAAAAGGCGACAAGAGTATGCATATGAAAAGGTAATATGTGAGAATTTTATGTATGTAAACAAGATTCATGGTCAAGTTAAATAATGCAATGAAAAAGACAACCAGAGTATTTTTCTTTGATAGCTTCATGTTTTTGTAAGTTACACATTTTAATCAAATTTGAAATGAATCCTTCTTGAAAGAAAAACATAAAATATTTAAGAGCTAAAGTTATTCAATAAGCGGATAGCAGTTAGTACGCATGGTTAGGAAAAAAAATAATTCTTTCTATAATCATACTTGAAAAATGTCCTTTCTTTTTAATCAATATTATTTATTATTTACTAACTGTATGCATCTCTTTTTTTCAATACATAAAATCTTTTTTATAGTTTCATTTTTGGAATAACATTTTTCACAACACATGAGGTTTCCATTATGTGTCATATATATTACTTTTTTAGTAATTAATATCTGTGAAAGTATTTTGTATGGCCTCACGCTGATTCTTCTCATCATTGATGACATTCTTACTGATATTCTTCTAACTTGTTGTTATTATTCATACGTATTCATGGCCGTTTTTTTCATTCTTCTCTTACTACAATTACTATTCTTATATTCAAATATTATGATTTAAATAAATTAAAAATGATCCTTCAATTGACTTTTTTTTATTTCCAATATATCTCTGATTGTGTTTGACGTTCTCGTCTTACTATTTCTTTTTAAAGGATTTTCAAACATATATGCATCGTATTGAATAGAGAATGTTTGTCATTTTATATGGTATTGTTTCAACAAAAATCTAACTAAATTCGAAATTCCATTTCTTGTGATTCTTGTACCATCGACTATTGCCTGCTTTATATTTAATTGACATTTATGTTCCTAATCGCATGTTATAAACCAGCAAAAAGAGTTTCTTTTTCATGAAGCAAAAAAATAAAAACCTAAAATGCTGATTAAGTGAGTAAACGGAATAGAAAAAGAAGAGAAAAAAAAACGAAACATTACATGATGTTGTTTTTTTAACAACCTACACACGTACTTTTCGAGAATAAGAAACAGAAAATGAGTAGGTGAATTTGTTTCGTATCACTTTTCTCTTTCTTGTCAAGTGTCTGATTAATAATTACAGAATAAAAAAAAAAAATGAAATACAAAAATTAGAATCATATTTTATTCATATAGTCATATCGGATACTCAATATTTCTCTTGTGTTTTTTTGTTGTTTTTATCATTCACACCTATGTGAGCATTTGTCACCGTTACCTAATGGAATGAAATCATTTCTCAACAGATTTTGTTACATTTGTTTTTTCTTTCTTTTTCTTCTTACTTAAGATTTATATTTTTATGACGAAAATAATGAGATATAAAAGTATTACTAAAGTTCACCTACGTTTTGTTCGAATGATATTATTAAAACCACTGTCAGTTAACTCAACGGTGAATGTCATGTTATAAAAAGTAGGTAAAGTCAACCTACTGACATTGTAGAGCGTATGAGAGAATTGAGAAAGAACTGTTTGAATTGTCCAGAACGAAAAGAAAAAGAGGAAGAAAGGAAGGTTATAATAGTGTGGAGAGCTCAGAAAACGGAATTGTTCAAGGCGATAGATAGACGCATCGATTTGTCTCAATTAATAGGTCAGATTTGTCTTTCTCTTCCTCGTTGTCGTAAACAAAATGAAAGTCACGTTCTCCAATATCAATAAAAAATTGTCGACAGAGCTATTGTCTCAAGGTCCAATCTATTCTAGTAGAAGCTGTTCATTAGTCTCTTCTTTCATTGTGTTTTTTCTTCGTTTTATTGACAAACTTCGATTGTACATGAGTAGTCGCGTATTCATTTATTTCTCTATCAATTTATAATTCGTATACATAGATTTGTCCAATGGCTTTGCATAAATTTTCCAAAACAAAATCATTTCATGTCGATTATTGTGGTTGTACAGCAGCAACATTACTTTTAAATGAATCATCAATACGAGATGCAATTAATTTCATTCGACAAATTAAATCAAAACGTGAATTTGTAAAAACAACAATATCAGTAAGCAGAGATGGTGTTAAAATTACCTACGAAAATGAACATAAATATTCTACACATGTATCATCATCTATGATTGGTGGTTCAACTATTGGAAAATCTTCTTTTCATGATACTATTGGTATGTAATCTAATTAAAAAATTAATTTAAAAAAAATATTTTGTTTTGTTCAAAAATTAGGTGTTGTTTATATATCACCACTTACTGGTCGTCATTATCCAGCATTTGTTCATGTATACCGGTGTGATTCAGCACGTACTGCTCAAAAATTAATAATTCGTCTTCGTGCATATACGCTTAATGAAAATCATCGTTCAAAAATTGTACAACTCGAACAACATTTTCTTCAACATAATTTACTTAATTTAGATCATAATGATACTACAAAATCACAATTATCAAATACAACAACTTTAAATTCTAATAAAACAAATACAAACATTTCATCTTCATCGACAAGTACTAGTAGTCGACAAAATAAAATCGATCCTGTTAAATCAATTACAGAAGAATTTCAAAAAAAACTTGATTCACAACAACCTCTTCTATTTCCACCAAAAGATTATGACACAGTACGTGCAGCACATGGCAACGTTCAACGAGCACAAGCATGGAAAAGTACAGAGGTAAAAAAAAATAACATTTTGATTGCATGAGAGTTTAGTATATACACCTTCCCCTTTTACATTCCACAAATTCACTCATACTTCACATTAAAGGTTGTCTTACTTTTTTCGATCAATCAATAACTCATTATATGTATTGAACAGAGAGTTCTACTTGAAGAAAAAAAAAAGCCTTGTTGGCGTCAAAGTATATGTATATATATATATATATATATAACGAAAAGATGTCAATTTAGTGAGTGACTGCCTTTTCTCTCTCTCTCGTTTTTGATCTGAGGTAGCTACCGCCATCGTTTCTTCATCATCATCTTCTCTCGGGCAAATACATACACTCTCACTACTGACGACGTCTCTTGCTTTACAATCAACGACAACATTTTAATCGCATCATTCATTGATAAAGAGATTTGCATTTCTTCTCTTTTTGTTCTTTATTCTGTCTGAGTAAAAAAGACTAGTCAATGAACATTTTTTATACGTGCTGTTCGAGTCAAATGACATAATGGTTCGTTTCAAACATGATAGTTTACTACCAACAAATTTTACTACTGTTTTAACTGCTAAATTACGCTCTACTTATGGCTTATGTTTTAGATCAAAGGTGATCAGAATTTTATTTGAAAAATTTCATATAAATCTAATCATAAAAATTACCATATTGATTTTGTTTACTTTGTTCTAGCCGACAATCGTTGGTTATATACCGATCGATCCAGATCATAGTCAAAAACGACGACAAGCATATTCAAATTATCATTCATCGAGTAACAACTCTACTGGAGATGAATTGAAAAAATCAGAATTAAGCAATGGTGTTATGGAAAAAAAAGGAAGATCACGTTTTTCAACTCAAAGAAGTGATACCACACTTGATCCGGTACAGAATTTTACAAAACAAAAAAAGATTTTTCGAAAAATCAGTACTATTGCTCTTTTTTTTTGCTTATTTTCATTCAGGTAGAAACTGTCAGTTTAGCATTTGAATTTCTTAAAGATGAAACAGGTTCAATACTGACTGATAATGATGGTAATATTGAACATATTGAAAGTGAACAACAAGATAAACAACCAATTTTTCGTTTTCGACCACCGCAAATTACTGCTATTACTAAGTGTGTATTTTTATTCATTACTTTCTTATTATTCTATGTCTCATATTGTTTGTATAGAAAACTTTTTACTCGTAATAATAATTATGAATTACCAAATAGTTTCCCACAACCGAATACATCATTGAAGAATGAATTAGATGCTTATTATCATAATACTCGTTATCAACATCAACAAGTACCACATGGACATCGAACTCGTTCTGAAACAAATTTATTATATGATCCACAACCTAGAATGCATCTTAGTCCTCGTTATGAAAGTCGTCTTGTCAACGGAAGTGGTGCACCTATTTCGACAAATCCACTTTGGACAGCTGCATCACCTGTAATGATCGGTTCACAACCAAATTTATTATCATATGAAACTCCAATCGTTCAAGCACCTCATAAACATCGATTGAGTCCATCAACTGAACGACGAAATACTTCAGCACCTTTACAACATCCTCTTTATGCAAGTTATCCAAATAATAGACCATCTGTAACGACACAACTACAAGAAAGTCAACAAAAACGACCAGGACCAGCACCGCCACCACCACCATCGAACGCTAATAGAAAACAACCAACAAAATTGCAATATCTCGATACAAATGAATTTATTCTACGTGCATCTGATGGACAAATATTAAATAATTCTCACTATTCTAATCGACCTGTAGCAGGTATATCACGAGATTATAGACCTCATTCAATCAACGTAAATGGCCATGGTAGCACTATGCTCGATGTATACTATTGATTTGTTTTTTCTTTTCTTTCTTGATTTCTTGTTTTTATACAAATTTATATTCATTTTTTTTTTGTTCTCGAAAGAGCAGTGACACAGTTATTCATCTACGTAAGTACGTAGTATCTGCCATAGTTGATGAGATAATTTCTACTTTTCACTTCATTTTTCATAGATTATTTGTTAATATTCTCAACTGAGTAAATATTTTCAACTGTGTGCACCATTTTTTGAATAGTACAATTATGACTTCTATTGATTTTTGAAACAAGCTTCTTCGATAATCATTAGAAGTGCTATCAAAATTTTTGTTCTCTTTGTAATATTAATGTAAGTAACAAAAAAAAAATTCAATTTTTTCGACATCTTTAAATTTACTCATGCCTTTATTTCATTATTGATTCTCTACTGCAATCATCAAGATCATAACTTAGTATATATAATGTTGTTTTAGTTTCAGTGATAGTTACACTAAAATACTACATTATTAAGAATGGAAACATTTTCCGACATCAATATTCAAACCATTGTGATCTGCAATTTAATGTGAATCATAAGTTATAATAATTGTAGCAGAAATTAACCTGTAAAATACATTTCAAATTTTCTAATGATTTTTCTATTGTGAACTTTTCATTGATAGCATCGTTACTAAATGAAATAACTTGTCACATTTTACTAGAAGTAATGATTCAAACATTATCAATAGAATAAAAATAAATTCGATATTCATCCGTACTCTCAGACAAACTTCAGACCACTGCCATTACCTACGCTCGCTGTTTCATACCAATAGCGAGGTAGGAAATACAGTGAGATGAAGATCCGAGTTTTGCATTAGCTTCGCTGTTATGGACGATCGTTTATCAAATCGACTACTGTCCAGCAATGCTTCGCTCCTACATATGTCCAAGCGAGGTATAACTGAACAGTTGTCTATTTAACATAAAAAATAATTTTTTATAATTTTCAAAACAGAGTATTGATGGCGTCATTTACTGGCTGCTGTACTTCGCTCACATTCGAATCGCGTAGCGTGGCACAAGCAGAACAGTAGTTTACACTCATCAGAGAAATTCGATATATAAAAAAAAGTAAAAAAGTAAAAAATCGAACGCGCATTGACACCGTCCCTGTATCTCCCTAGTCATGTCGTTTACTCAAGGGAGGCACATCGAACAGTGAAAATGCACGAAGTGATAAATCATGGCAAACGATTTTCAAACAGTTTTCACCGGTCAACAGACACGCCGAGTCATGTATCGAAGCGTTCCTGATAACCGGTGATTGCGTCCGAAAAAGTTTTGTACTAATATGTATCTCACCTTTTCCATACCAAATCGACGTTAACAAATAAGTGGAATCATACGTGTATGACCTCCGCTTTTTATAGATCGTGACAGACGGACGGACGAAACAGCCACAGACAAGAGAAAGAGAGAGAAAAAACGAAATGATATAATCGGGAGCAAGAGAGTGATGCGTCGACGATGAAAACAAAGGATATACATAGATGTGCCTCGATGATATTTGTTGCCCTCTAATACGTATATATGTGTGTATATCGACGACCAGTATGCCGAGAGAAAAACAAAAGTGGTAGTTGTTTCTCTCTTTTCCATTTAATTTTTTGTCGATAGAAACAGACTGAAACTGTCGATCAACAAAGAAGCTTCATTTTTAATCGAACTTTCTTGAATGTGTCTTACGCTACTTGTAGTTCATACTTTTTTGGATGATATGCATTATTATCGCTGCATTCACATACGTATTATGAGAAGTAGCAAAGAGATTGACTATTAAATTTTCATCAGTAATTTTTTGCTTTCATAAAATATGTCACATTTTGAAAAAAAAACACACAAAGAAAATCAGAAAAAAATAGTACAGAAAAAGAAACATAGATAACAATGAATTATCGATACAATGTTTACATTCATGCATAAATCGATTTGTTGTATGAACAAAATTAGCGACATAGACTGACTCGATCAGTTAGATAAAAGAAAAAGAAATACACTGTTTCAAAACCTGGAAAGACAAGCCGAGAGAATGCACAGAAAAAAAGAATTTACAAGTTCGTTCGAAGGACATTTGTTGTTTCATCATCAGGAATATATGCAGGATTTATTTCAACATCAGTTATAACTGAATGCATTCGTTCATCACTATCATCGGTTTCAATGTCACTAACATTTTCAATAACTGAATGTGCTGATATATTTGTATTATCAGTTGTACCACCGGGTGAACCAACGAAAAAATTTGCAGCACGCGGTGTTGTAAATGACGTTGATATAGAATCCTGTAGACTTTCATATGTTGTTGTAGTTCTTGTTGTATTATTGTCGGTGTCTTCTGAACTTGATTCATGTAAAGCAACATGTGGTAATTGTGAATTTGAATAATTTTCAGAACTCGATGATGGGCGATTGAATACAAGATCATTAGTAGTTATATGATTTGTTGTTGTTATTTGTCTTAATAGTGACGATTCATCATCATCATCATCGTCATCATCATCAGTATTTGATGATTCGTTAATAGCAGTTCTAGAATTAGGAGCGCCAACATCTGAAGAATTAATGATTCGGCGTTCTAAGATTGAAAGATTTATTAAATGAATGGAAATCTATTCCCTGAAATTATGATCTTTGACAAAAAAAGAATGTTGGTTTATTTATTATTGGTAATTTAGACTTAGTAACAGTAATATGCTTTTTTGTGAAGTATTCAGTGTCTTATCTATGGTGAGAGTCGAGGAGACGCGCCTCTTCGAAGATTACTTTGACCTTCCCAAAGTTTGTGGTTTTTCTACTGTGTACTATGTGTCTGTTCTCTCAAAAACAAGTGTTCCCCCTTTTGGAAGCGAATACCTCAATAAAATACTGGTAGTTTCATGTCAAAATAAATTCTACTCCGCGTTTAAATAATTTAAAGATCTGGACAACGCCAGACATATTAAATAGCCGTTTAACTGTAATTTATGAATAAGTTATTGACTTCCATCGAAGAAACTGATTTTTAGTAACATGCTATATATTAACCTATTAGACGAGTTCTTAAAAGAACTGGAACTGTATTATCATTAGATGGTTGTATCAATGGTGTTTGTTCTGTAGGTGCTTGACCAGTATTCTCTTCTTCGTCTGAATTATCATGATTAGGAAATACATAACGTTTACATATTGGACATTGACGTCGACTATTCAATAACCATGGATCAATACATTTCATATGATAAGCTAAAAAAAATAATTAAATGATAAAAATATAGAAAAAAATAAAAAAAACAAACCATGATCACAAGGTAATATACGTATTTTTGCACCATCTTCGAAATCATCTAAACAAATAGCACAAACTTCCCAATGATCGCCTTTAGCAAATTTTTTTATTTTTAATTGTTTAAGTGCTGAACGTGGTAAACGATGACGACGTAAACGACGTCGTTGTAAATAACATTTAACCAACTAAACAAAATATAATGAAAATATTTTCTATTAAAACGATTATCTTACCATAAAACCAATAAGACCAAAAAATGACACACTAATAATACAAATAAATGGTATTAAATAAGCACCAAATTTAAATAACTGTTCTGTAGTAATTTTTACATGAAACCTATGATTAAAAGAAACAAAAACAAAAATAACCCGATAGATGAAAATAAACATATATAGGGTTCGCTATAAATAGCATTAAGACGAAAAATAAAAATATGTCTCCTTTGGTTTGTTTGAATGAGCTGATTTTTCGGCTAACGGTAGAAATTTATTTAAATTTTTTTTTATTAAGATAACGTAAACAAGTACTACTGTCTATTTATATTTTTGGTCTCGCTAAAGAAATGTCATCTATTGTCAAATAAGGAAAATACATGAAGCATTCTATAGCAAATCTTCAGTTGTCATCGAAGAGAATAATCAGAAGTCAAAATAAACTATTTTGATGCATGCAGAACAAGTCTTCGAAACTAGGTCAAAATTTTGTTTCATGTTTGAAAATTCAAAATTTTATAGCAATTTATTGTTAAACTAAATAGTTCTGAAAATTTCCTCTATATGTATCAATGTAGTTCGTTTTGATTTCTTATTATTATTCTCTTAGATGAGAACTGAAAACTATCTATGCAATGCTTCATATGTATTTTTCCTATGTGATAATAGAAAAAATTGCTTTCATGAAAAAAATGACTTCATTTGATTGAGCCGACACCGAGATATTTCATTTCTTTATCTAAGTGCTATCTATAGTTCATCCTGCAAATAAAATATTTACTGTGCAGTTGAATTTGTCGTTGTTTCATTATATACATAATTTGAGATAATTGATAATCCATCAGAATACATTATTAATGTTGATGGTATCTGTATATCTAAGATTTAAAAGAAAGACACTATTAAATACAAATTATAATATTTTTTCTTTACCTCTTCCGTGTGGACCCATTGTGATAAGTGCATCTTCAAAATTATAAATAATAACTGCACTAAAATTTGCATTTTGCGCATTTAGTACCTAAGGACAAAAAAAGAAAATATTAGAAAATGATTCAAAAAAATTAACCTTAAGATCAAAATCACACATATCCTCTGATTTTGTACGAGGAATAAGTGCAATCCAACGATATTTAGGTGTCGGAACATTAGGTGGTGGCGCTACTTTAGTACATGCATTTTTTGGATTTGTTAATGTCACATATCCCTTTAAAAATAAAAATACAATTGAAATATATATTTAAAAAAATAGTGTATTACTATTAGTCCATTAGATGGAATTGATGGACCAAAATTCGCTGGTTGATCATCATAATCGTCAATTACTTTATTTGCATCATTATACTAACAAAAGAAAGCGCAATTGTTAAAATAAAAAAATCTTTTTTTTCCCATTTTACCACATAGACTTCAGATAAAGTCATTTGAATTATTGATAAAAGAAGAGACGGAAGAATTAATAATATGCGAGTCATCTTTATTGATGATCCGTCAAAAATTAAAATTAATTAAAATTATTAAGAAACAAAAATTGATTAAAAGCTGTCTAAAATAAATTAATGACGAACATTTGATGAATCAATAAAAGAATTCACGAAAACTATTTCGAAAAAAAAAGCAACACAATAATGACGAATAACACGTACAATCATAACTTCTTAATACTTAAAGAACAAAAAAAAACAAATAAGTCTATTTATCGAACTTCTTCCTTTTTGGTGTTGGTCATATGTGCAATCCGAATGTCAAGGATCTTTGACAGAGGTCATTAGTTCTTGGTTAAAGTCGAATCTTTTAAAATCATCATCTAAACAGCCTTCAAGCATTATTTTATTGAATTCTTTATAAAAATATTTTAAATATAGGTATTTTTTTTTTATGAAAATAGGTTGACATGATGTCGCCAATAGTCATACGAATAATTATAAATCATTATTTGTCATTTCAATATGGCATCCGTAAACATAGCGATGAAGCAGGTCATCGTCAGACACTTAGAAATAACGCATTGAATTTATCTATACTGTTCATTGTGATCAAAACTCTTGTTTTTTTTTCTAATCGGACGATTTGCTTGTTCTGAATGTCGAATTTTCTTTTTTTTTTATTTATAAGACGCACAGATTGGCCTCTTGTCATTGTGTGGCCTATTTTTTTTTCTTCACATATGACTCAATCTGAAGATCATTTAAAATCGTTATGGAAGAAAACCACGAAAATGTATTAAAATCTAATTATTCAAAATATATTCCATTTTTAAAATAATTATCATAGTGTTTTTTTTTTTTATTGATTTACATAAAATGAAAAGTAAAACCGTTGATGTAAATTTTTCATTACTACTTAACGGTTCAATTTTGTTTGATCTATAGAGTTTTATTGTATTTGTTTAATACTTTTCGATGTTCATTGAAATTATTATCTCAGTTTATGAATAGTTTCAAGTATTTTCTAGTGAACCATTTTATTTGCTTTCTTTAACTATGACGTGACATGAGATCAAACATAATGTTGGTAAGTTGAGAAGATCAATCATTTAAGTGTATAATTTTCTTTTATAGATAATATCTATAGAACAAACGATAGTCTTTTCACACCATATTGTTATGTAACATTATTGGCTCATTCATAAATTCTTTAATTACTATGTATTATATAGTATTTTCTGTCATGAGAATTCTCATCAAAGGAATAAAATGAGAATTTCGTTTTCATCGATTATGGATTAACGTAGATATGTACACTGAATAGTTATTCATTAATAAATATTCGTAATATTCATGAAAAAACGATTAGTGTATCATACACAGCAACAAATTCAAATAATAAAGTGATAAAAATATTCTAGTTTTGTTCTTTTAAGTGAAATAAGATCGATAGATATTTTATATAATATAGAATTTTATTAAAAAGATATATGTATTTCATTATTATTTAATTGTGTGAATGTTATTTTTCTTTTAGATATGATATCTAATTTTATCGTTGTTCTATTTGCTTTTACATTTGTTGGTAGTTCTTTAATACCAACTATTCCTGTATCGAAATATGTACCAACTAGTAAGTGATTTAAAACGATATGAATTGAAATTTTGATCTTATTGCTTTTGTTCAATAGCTATTCATAAGTATTCATCTGGTTTAAATTATTATTGGAATTTACTACTCGATGATGATAGTCTTTATGTTGGTGGACAGTAAGTTTTCGTGTGTGTCAAAGGTTTTTTGTAATCTAATTCTTTGTTGTTTAATAGAAATTTAATCGTTCGATTAGATCGAGATAATATTGAAGATCGAACAAGCTCTGTAAGAGATTTATTAAGAATAAAGCAATATATTTATTTTGTTAAATAGATTTATAAATCAATTGATCTTCCATCAAAACGAGACGAAGTACAAAAATGTCTGTCACATTCATTAAATCAGGTAACAATTTTACTAAGTTACATACATATTAAGGCAATTTTCAGGCAAAAGGAACATACTCACCGTTCATTTGACTTGGATTCTTTGCAAGAGCTATTTTTCTGAATAAGCTTTTTTAACATAGGTATACGTTAAAATGTTGGCTCTTGCAGCTTACTATTTATTAACTAACAGATATCTCAGGAGAAATTGCACTAAATCTCAGTGCACTTTTTCTCTTTCATTAATCATCGAAACATTTTCTCTTATGTCTTAAAGCAGAGACTTTCAAGATCTATAAAACTGTCAACTTTTTTCTCAAACAACTTTTACTGATCAGTGAAAATTTTAGAATTAAGTGCTACATTCGATATCATAATAATAAACCTTTCATATAGAGCAAGTCTAACTTTGGAAAACATGATATTCCCAAAAGGCACGGAAAAATATAGACAATTTTTAGTTTCAAATCTTCTTCTCGTAAACGGCAGTCTTGAAAACATCATAAACACACAGCGCATAAATTTTTTTTTGTCTTTTTGTATTAAGTAATTTACTTTAGACAGTTAGCAGAGAATAGGAAATCGAAGTTGAACATCGAATAAACATGAATCATTTAAATTTGGCGCTAACAAGGTTAAAATTGTTTTAAAATCTCTATCTTTTATCATATGAAGAAAATTTGTTATGCTTAGAGAATATGAGAAAAATGCATCAAGATTACATACAATTTATTTTGGAGCATATTCTAAAAAAGTTATCAGTAAAAAATTCACAAACTTTAAAAAATACTTTACGGTATGAATCGTATCTATGATGAAATTTTTAACAAGATCGGACTTCGAAAATCTTCCTTTTAAAAGTTGGCTTTCTAGAGATTCTGAAGAAGAATTTTTATCATTTGGAATTGGTTTTGAAGTTCTCATTCAGTTAAAACAAATCTTTTTTCGTTTGTATATTCGAATTCTGTCACATCACTAACAAAACGTAAATCGATTTTTTTGAAAAATCTAAGCATGATCAGAAAAAAGCTTTTGACGATATCTAGACAGTGTTTTATTCAAAGTGAAGATTGTGAATTTTCGAAAAGCATGTTGTCCTTTCCAGGATTTATTATTATTGTACCATGTACGACGTATCTGTCCTCCCAAAAATAGGTGTTTGTCTTGGAGTTTTATATTGTCCATCCGGAAGACAAAATCTGCATAAAACACAGTATCTAGAGTAACTAAATATATCTGTAGCCTATAAGAAATAGTTCTAGAAAAGTTTCTTGTCCCAAGATGCTTGTGTTCTAATTTGGAAAGTCACGTCACTAACGAATGAATTTGCCCGTTAAAATATATATCTATATATAATATTTTTTTGTTTTCTTCTTTTCAAAGGCTTTTGATTGTGAAAATCATGTTCGAGTATTATTACGACGTAAAACAAAATATAATGATATATTTGTATGTTCAACAAATGCATTTTCACCAAAACTTTATTATTTTAATGTAAGAAATTTATTTTATAAGATTTTTATTTTATTTCTAATTATGAAACTATTTTGTAGCCTGATTTAACTGAAAAACAAGGAAGTAAAGAAGGTTTTGGTTATTGTTCACGAGATCCTCGTCATAATAATACCGCTCTTTGGTCAGGTATGACTTTGTTTGTTTTGTTTTTATTCAAAATTTGTTTTCTTTGTTAATTAGATGAAGGTAATCCACAAAATTATGGATTTTTTTATACGGGTGCCGTTATTGATTATACAAAAACTGAACCAATTATTTATCGACCACCATCTGATGATGGAAATATTAAATTTTTACGTACACCTCAATATGATACTGATTGGTTGAGTGGTAAATTTTTAACATTTTTTTAAATAAATGAATGACAAAAGTTTTATTTAGCACCCGAATTTATTGCTTCATTTGATGTTGGTTCAAATATATATTTTTTCTTTCGAGAAAAAGCTGAAGAACAACGTGATATATTTCCAAGAATTTATTCTCGTGTTGGTCGTTTATGCAAAGTAAAATGATTATTTAATTAATTTTGGAAAAATAAATTTTCTTTTTACGTTAAGAATGATATTGATACTGCAACAATTATGGCTAATACATGGACAACATTTCGTAAAGCAAGAATAACATGTTTAAGTGGTGTGAATGATTCACCTTTTGTATTTAATGATATTAGTAAGATTGAAATAATAAAATAAAATAAAAACATATTTTATTTTCAAAAAAAAAAAATTTTAATTTAGATGCTGTAACAAAACTTCATGATGATCGTTTCTTTGTTTCATTTACTAGTTCACCGTAAGTAAATATTTAATAAAGAATAGAACGTTTGATCATAGATTAACTTTTAACAAAACTAAATCGAAGGACTATTTTGACTCGAAATCATGTGTGAAATTTAGAAGTTTTAATTAACAAAGTAAAATTGAATAGAAATGTTTTGTTTTTTCATATGATCGATGATTTATATATAAAGATTTGATTCATGAATAATTATATTACTCATGTATAAAAGGTTATAAATGTGACATTCTTTTTTAGACATAATTTTTAGTGTAAATAAATTCGATATCACTTCAGATATTTGTATAGAACTATTTCAAATTAAAAGGCTTCGTCAAAAATACTTTTTTACTCGTCTATCCAATCATGATGACATTTTTAGAGGAGTACGCATTTCAGATTAGGCATCTCATAAGTAAAAATTTCAGCTCGACACATTAGGTCTATGAAGAGAGTTAGCTTGATATTAGGAGACGAAATAGAGGTGTCTGTCAAATGCTAGACAGTTTGGATTGGTTTTAAAATGTAGCAACGTCGTGATACTACAACTTAATAGAGCTCGAGTTTCCCATTTTTCTTGTTTGTGTTTCTCGAAAGCTCCTCTAGTAATATTAAAAAACTTGAAAAATCTGGCTCTGTCAAGCTGTAGAGCGGGTGCTTGTCTGGACTTTGACACTAAGCCTAGCTTTCAAGCATTTATAATGGTGGACAAATTCGGGACGCAAGAAAACATTTAAATCAACCACCCTATTCTGAGAAAAAAGTGTTGTATTTATCATATGTAGTGGCGCATGATAAACACGTCAATCACTGCGAGAGATCAATAGAGAAGCTTGAAAGGTTATAAACATTAAAGTTTTTAGACAAAAAACGTTATTTTCTTCGGTATGAGAATTCGCAAAAACCTATGTAACACTCTAAACTAAAATGTATATGAGAGTAGACACTTGACTCTATCTAACGAGCTATAAATCGTAAAAGCAATACATTTGTCTTTTTAATAAGGGGGAAGAGGCTTTTAAGGGCCGCCTGCCCCTTTTATAACTTGGATTTTTTTTGTTTTTGTGGCCATTGTACAGGCATCTATCAAAACTACATTGTTTTGCTTTTTTTCAAAATCAATTTTTGAACAGTAAAATTGAAATTTTCTCCCTTTTCTTCCAGACGTTTCGATCGATTGATCTGAATTTTTTTGCGACAACAAAAACTGCATTGAGGATGTTTTTTTGACCAGACTTTTATTATTTTGGTTCTCCTATGTGAAGGAAACAATATTTTTCAAAGAAAAATAAAATTCAGACTTCAATTTAGCTCTAGTCGTTGAAAAAAATTCAGTCATAAAAAGTGTATTACGGCTGTTTGCGAGAGGGGGAGGGACTTCAGGTCATTTTCTGTCCTTAAGTCGCCTATATCTCATAGAAGGAAGTATCGAGACTATTTTTAGTATCGAATCCAAACCCATACTCCCAAATAGTTTGGGATTAAGTTTGAGTTTTTTGCATGTCTAGGTCCAACGGATCTCATTGATTTTTTTAACGCAGAGCACCTAAAATAAGTATACACATATTCGAGGAAAACAATTTTAAAGAAGATTTTCGCAGTTTTTCAGAAAAGTTCTGGTTGTCCATAGAACCAAACCTAGTCAGTTTCTGACCCACCTCTAGCTTTGTTCGATAGGACTGAAGTCTTAACAACAGACACTGGAAAGTATTTTTCATCGATGAATTTGACCGTTCTCGTTTCTGACCTTCCTGTTCGGATTCATAGAACCCTGAACGCCAGTACCTTGGTTTTGGATTCTTTACGTATTTCTTTCATAAAAAAAGAAAGTCAGATTTGTAAAAAAAACTTCAAATCACCTTTGAGGTAAAGTCTAAGGTGTCTCAAAAATATTTTCAACATGACCGAACAGTGTTAGATGAGGATCGAAAGCGGTCCTACGAAAATCAGAGCTTTTCAANTTTTTTAGCACATTTGGTCGAGTTTGTACTATATTTATAAAATTATTAAAGACTTGTCATTCTTTCATAGCGTATGCACACAGACTATGTATAAATCCAACATCTAAAATAGTTATATAATGGATAATAATAAGCTCTTAGTAATTTCTTTGTCTAGCAAATTTCTAAATCTGTGCAGATTTATTCTTCAAAGGCAAATATGTTCATCTGATTTCGTAACTGTTTTAACAAAAAGAAAAACAAATGCTGTAATGAGTATGATATCAATAAAGGACACTATTGAGATGTTTTTGACGGTAATTGATTGTTTCTTTGATATTGAAACAAAGTGACCAATACTCATATTAAATGCTGATATGATTTAATGTTTGTCATTTTTTTAAGAAGTAAATTGTGCTTGAACACATTACTTATCGTTCAATTTGCTTGGTTGACTTCGATACCTTCACAACATATCCACGAACATAGTAGTTAAGCCAGTAATTGAGTATAAGCGGCAAACTCATATTATGAAATGTATTCTTTAATGCTGTATCAAAAACTTACTTTGTTTCACATGTCGATGGATCCACAAAATGGAAAACTTGTTTCAACACCATTTGTTCTTCAACTTGGTGCATTAGTTTATTTTGGACGAAATTCAACATTTCGTTGTTGTGATCCACAATTTGTTCATAAAACAACAATGAAAAAAACAAATTTAATTCAAACAAAAACACAATTAAATGGAGATAAATCATCAATGCATAGTTCTTTATCAAGTTTACCAAGGACTAATATTAAAAAATCCAATCAAATTGTCGATCCTGGGTAGAAAAACATATTCGAAAGTTTTATTTTCTTTATTAATTTTTTTTCTCTTTTCTATTTTTAGAACCATGATCGATGTTCTACCGGGTTTATTAGAAGTTCCAGCAGAAAGTAAGACATAGTTTAGATTTCATTGAGAAGAAAAATAAATTAAAGAAATCTTTTAAATACTTAATAAAGAATCTGACAAAATAAGAGAAAGTACTAAGATAAAAAATAACACATTCAAGTCTTATGAGAAACTCAATTAAGAATGATATTAGCTTAATAAGATAATCAGTGAATACTTCCAGATATAACTTGTTTTTAACAGCTGTCTCTATCTGGAACACATGTCGATAGTCAATCAACATCTTGTGACATTAATGCGTATTTTATTTTTCAATATGCATTAATAATTAACATGAGATGATCTCTATATTAAAGACGAAATTAACTAGATCAATTAAGCCTGATAGGTCCACCTGAAGTTCTTATCAATCACAGAACGTTATCGCTGGTTGATATTCAATATTTTTTCATATATCATACACATAGTGCCTCAACAGGCTGAAATAATTATCGGTTTATGGTACTCGAGTTATATGCATTATAAATCCTAATTAGTAATAAAAATGATGCAGTATCATAGGAGACTTTTTTTTATTGTACTATAACTACTGATGACAAATGAAAAACTTGAACATTATATAGTAATCAAGTCGCTTGATCATGAAAATCAATCAGTATCTAAATGGTATCATTGTAGAGTAATCATATTTGATGCGGTTATGAATGGTAATCATCTGTTGATTAGTATTCGAAAAGAGTTGACTTTTATAAACAAGAAACGGTATTAAGGAATGATATTTGAACCTTTGATTTTCCATCTCGTACCATATGAAAAAGATTTCTATACTAGCGTATCACTAGTTTTGATTGATCGATATTTGTCTTTCGTATTAGCAGAATACGATTTAAATTACATGAAAATAACAATCTTAACACAATAGGACTTGTTGCTCTTTTTAAATAAAAGTAACCTGGAGACTTTTGTCAATGTACTATCGATTAAGCATCATCATATATACTTTGAAGTCGTTTATAATATAATGATCACGAAGAATACTTAACTAATCTTAAATATATATCTGAAAAGGATGAGATATATATATATTATGAGTTATTTAATTATGTACACAATCAATTATTTTAACTGACTAAAATTATCAGCATATTTCAGAAAATATTTTTAAGATAAATTTAAGAAGCTGAAATGGAATCCATCGTATTGACTGAGATCCTAATAAAAGTTTTGAATCTAAATTCTATTTGTTTATAGCTGAAACTCGATTTCTTCATGCTGTTTTTGAAAATTATATCCATTAAATAATATTCAATTTCGTTTATCACCTGTCTATACACTCTATATGACATTACGACATCGTCTTTCACCATATGGAAAACCAAACTTTCCACTTGTACAAAAACAAGAAAATGTCATTTCATTACTTTATCGTATTGAAGATATGGTAAGTAAAAAAATAGCAGTACGTTTAAAAACAATCTCTTTTTTCTAAATAAACAAATATTTCTTCTTAAAAAAAGGAATGTCATGAACATGGTGGTTATCTAGCTTATTGGATAGCAAATACATCTGAATTACTTTATTTTATAAAACAAGATCGTGATATATCAAAAATTTCTCATGATATTCAAGATCGTTTAGCTGAATGTGTATGTGTACAACGTTTATTTCGTTATTTAACACATCTTGTACAAAATGAATTAGATAAATAGTTAATATCATTTACAAATCCACAAGATGATGTTGAACATGATATGTTTATTGCATTTGGTAATTAAATATTTCATAATTTAATAATTGAAAATAATCTTTTGTTTTTAGAAGAAAATAATTCAACAACTGTAAAATTATCTGATTTACGTTGGATAACATTAGATATGAATTCAAATAATTATTATCAAGCAACATTAGGTGATATTCTTGCAACACTTTCATCAATCATGGATTTATTACGTAAATATCGTGTTAATGCTACATTAACAATTCAAGTGTTTTCACAAATATTTCATTATATAAATACATGGTTATTTAATCGAATTGTTTGTTATCCAAAATTAAAATTATGTTCATATTTTTGGGGAGAAAAATCATTATTACGTTTAAAATCGATTAGTGATTGGGCACAAAGACAAGGTTTAGAATTAGCATCTGATTGTCATTTAACAAAAGTTAATCAAATTTGTTTATTATTACAAAGTCCGAAACGTGATGTACATGATGTACAGCAATTAATATCAAATAATACATTTAAACTTAATTCAATATAAGTTAAACAAATATTAAACAATTATGTTTTAAATTGAAATGAATCACCTATGTCACCTACATTTAGTCAAGCGTAAGCGAGAAAGTTTTTCAGTTTAATCTTCTAGGAATTAAAATATCATATACGATAAAGCTGCATTAATCTTAGAGAGGGAGGTTTTAGACAGGTTTCTTATATTTGAGAGCTTCTCTATTCACTAGGAGAAAGACGATTATTATGTATGTATGAACGACAGTGCGAACTTCTCCCTTACAACTAAAATTAAATCAATGTAAATTTTATAGGAAATTGCTGAGAAGATTTTCAAAGAGAAAAATAGTTTGATTAATTTAAAGATCATTTTTTAGGTTTCATTCTATCAATGACAAATATGAATGAACTTTCAAGATGTTCTTTTCACTCGTTTCATAATTATTCAGTTTTTGTGACTAACTTCTGAGTACTCTGAGAAATACTGCTGATGGATGAATAAAAAGCTTTTAACACTTATTTGAAGGTGTTGATTGATTGATGAAATCTTTCATCGATATCGATAATTCTTCAGTTTCTTCTTGGTCATTATCCTAATAAATTGTTCTGTATCAGTTCTTCTTTTATGTAATCAATACTGATCAAGGATTCTTGTATTATTCTAAATGAGAATGATACATAGGAGAACATAACATTCTATTTATACTTCCGTTAGCTTGAATACTCTATTCATTTAACTTCTTCCGTCTTTTATAATTTGAGATAGATTCGATTAAATGTTTTATTTAGTCTTCTGGCTGCTGCTTATAAACATGTGGATGAAAATTTACATCGCGAAGGTGCACTTGTTCAATTAGCTGAAGAACCTGAATTAAATTTACCATTTCTATTACCTGAAGATGGTTATACATGTGGAAATTTATGCGGTATTATACCACCGCAATTATTTGAATTTATTGAACCAATGAGTCGTGCATCTTTATGTCATTTATTTATCAATCCACATAGTCTTGGAATGTGGACTGAATTTATGCAAATACAAAATGTAATTTAACATATTTTCAATTTTTTATCATCATGAAATTGTTATTTTGTCTGATTTAGAATGAAAATGGACATAATAATAATGATGAAAATAACCATGTAGGGTGTGGGTGTGGATGTGGGTGTGGGTTTGATGGGAGAAAAGATAAACACCCATATCCACACTCCACACTCCATACCCACACCAACACCCGCCCCACACCCTCCTTTTCTATTGATGAGTTTTTTTTCTATCAAGCACATAGACATCTGATAAATATTTCTCAANATACTCCCAAATAGTTTGGGATTAAGTTTGAGTTTTTTGCATGTCTAGGTCCAACGGATCTCATTGATTTTTTTAACGCAGAGCACCTAAAATAAGTATGCACATATTCGAGGAAAACAATTTTAAAGAAGATTTTCGCAGTTTTTCAGAAAAGTTCTGGTTGTCCATAGAACCAAACCTAGTCAGTTTCTGACTCACGTCTAGCTTTGTTCGATCGAACTGAAGTCTTAACAACAGACACTGGAAAGTATTTTTCACCGATGAATTTGACCGTTCTCGTTTCTGACCTTCCTGTTCGGGTTCATAGAACCCTGAACGCCAGTACCTTGGTTTTGGATTCTTTACGTATTTCTTTCATAAAAAAAGAAAGTCAGATTTGTAAAAAAAACTTCAAATCACCTTTGAGGTAAAGTCTAAGGTGTCTCAAAAATATTTTCAACATGACCGAACAGTGTTAGATGAGGATCGAAAGCGGTCCTACGAAAATCAGAGCTTTTCAAAAAAAGCTGCGAAAACTCTGTTTACATTTTTTTTTCTTCGAACACACGTCTTCTTTTTGTCAGGAGCTCTATCTATAGTAAACATTTCATGCGGATTAGTTGTGTCCTTATTGGAAACCAAAAAATTAAAAAGACTTTAATAATGAATTTTTGCTTTTTTTTGTATATAGAGGTGATTTAACCACATCAATTATTTGTGAATATTCTCGACGTGATATTGATTCAATTCTTGATGGAAATTTTAAAGAAGCTGATTCAAGTAGTTTTTGGAGAGAATTACCGCGTGATCATGTACCAGATGGTGTACCAAAGAATGTATAATTTATTTATTTTCTTTTTGTTTTTATATTGATTTCAATGAATTTAATTTAGTGTGAATCAAATGGATCATTATCAGATACAGTTTTAAGTTTTCTTCGCTCACATGTTCTTATGAATGGAAATATATATTCGTCACCACCATTAGAGATAGCATTTCAAATACCAAATACAATTATAACTCGTCTTGTTACAGATTCAATTAATTATAATAATGATAATCAAATAATATTAATTTATGCTGGTACACAAGATGGACAAGTTTTTAAATTAGTACAAAAGAAAAAAGGAGAAAAATTTATTTTATTAACATCTTGGATATTAGATGAAAATAATAATGAAAAATCACCTGTTAGAAATATGATTCTTGCTCAAGTAAACGATATTATTATTGAATTTATTGAATAGACTTTTTTTTTTGTTTTAAATTAGGATACAAAGCAATTGTATGTATCAACAGATATAGCAATTTATCAATTTTCAGTTAATCAATGTAATCGTTATATGCTTTGTGTTGAATGTGAACGTGATCCATTATGTCATTATGATGTACAATTAAATCGATGTTCAAATGTTGATGAACAGTAAATAGAAATTAATTTTTAAGATAATTTATTCGATCAATGTTGTTTTAGTAATCAAAAACTTACTATTGCTCGTTTACAACCAGAATCTTGGTGTAAAAAATCTATCCAACGACCAAGTAGATCTATTAATTGCTTTTCTTTTTATTAAATATAATAGAAAATATTTTTCATAGGTAAAATACTTCAATTAACAAGAAAAAAAGGTGAAACTGTTTGGTTACAATGTGATGTTAATGAGCATTTACGTTCATCTATTGAATGGCGTTGGAATGGTCGAAATATTCAAGATACATTATTTAATAATTTTCTTTTAACAAAAGAACAAAGTAAAAGAATTAAGTTTTTCTTTTAAATTGCAATTCTTATATTTATTGAAATTAATTTAGATTTAATTATTATTAATATGAATATAACACTTAACGGTCAATATACTTGTTTTATTGGTCATCAACCAATTGTTTCATATTCACTTGAAACAGATAGAAGTAAAAAAACAAAGATGATTTAATTTTTGTAATTAACTTCATTTTTCTATTTAATTAGATTCATTTGCGTATGGAGATGTTGCGTCGACGATCACAAATTTATCTCGACGTATGTTATTTTTCGAATGTCACGCGATTTTTTTCCGATATATGTGTCGAAGTTGATTTTAAAATTCAGCTACCTTTAAAAAGCATCTAGTTGACTTTTTCAACATGCAATCTCGTTTTCAAGAAATAGGAACACATCTCGTACTGTTTTTTCTAGCATTGTTTTGAATATACCAACGTGTTCATGCATTTTTTGCTCAACTTTTTATGTGAGACTTACGTATTCCCCGTTCTTGGGAAGGGAATCCGAAAGTGACACCGCTACTAGAAAGTCTCAATGTAACTTTGACAAACTCGTTTTTTTGTAAAACTTTCAGATCTTATACGGTTTGGCGCAAATAATGTCAATAGATATGCAACACTGAGATTAATACTGAATGCGATATGCGAATGAAGTACCTATAGTAGCGAATAGTTTTTGGTAGCATTAGTTACTCCTAGCAAATAGATGACTCAGTAACAGTTTTATTGTTCAAGTTTTTTCCTCAATTATTGTATTTATAGATAAACGAAGAAGTGCTTGAACATACATCACTAAATATGAAGGTATCATCAGATATAGACTTGACGTCTGGATTGTTGATCTGTATATGTAAAACAACACGATTAAGTTTTTCACAACACTATAATACTTCTAAAATTTAGGCTACACATTTCTATCCTGTTTTTATTAAAGTTTTGTAAAAAAAAAAATGTTTAAAGACGTTTTAATTTGAAAATAGATCATAATTAGCTTTAAATCGGAAAAGTCAACTCTAACATATACCAAGGATTATTCACATTTAGTGAAAAGTTATTTTCTGAAGTTGTTTTTATCTACTATTGATTGATAAATTTAATAAAGACCATCAATCTTTTGTGAAACACTATCGAAAAGGAGTATTGAAGTAAATAACGTAAACATTTGCATTCTTCGTTCTCTTCTTCTCCCTTTATTATGAAAACAATAAACACCATCAAAGACTAAATCGACAGACCGTGACAAGCACTTGAGCAATACTCTTCCCCTGCCCTCAATAGATTGCAACAAACATTGTTTATGCATGAACAATGACTGTATGTTAATTATATTTCTTTATTATATATGATTTACTTCGTAATTGCATTTGTGAAGAATTGAGTAAAAGTATGATAAAGAAATGTGTCTAAAATAGATAGAAACAAAATAATCTTTTTGTGATTAGCAACAACAGTTAAATCGTGTTTAATATTTTAATTGTACAGCGATTGCGCTAATTGCTTTTATTTTTTGAAATAGAATTATGAATTTTTATGTTGATTATTGTAATTTCTAAATATTGATATATTTTAGGTAATGGTGAATGTAACTGTTTAACAGCTGAAAAATATATTGAAAAATACAATGATTGGTGTAAAGAATTCGAAAATTATCAACGTGCTTATAATGAATGGGAAATTTTACGAGATCAAGTAAGTTTTAAGAAAAAACAGTGTTTATTTTCATTTCATAACGATGTTTTATTTTCTTTTAGAGCTGTCCTAAGCCTTAAAATAAAGCAGATTTAATATGTATATTATATCTGTCAGATATAAACTCGACAAAAAAGAAAGCCAAATCAGATGATTTCATCTGTCAGATGTTCATATTCTCTCTTTTTTTTTTCTTCCTGTAATTTACATAGATACTTCAATTAACAATTTGTGCTCATTTATATAATCTCTTTGTCTCCAATAATTGATTTGTCAGTTTCTTTTTTTCTTTGTTTTTTTTTGTAATTCATTCTCTTATCTATTTACTTACTAGTCGTCAATATACAATTTGCAAGATTCTTTTCGTTTCTTGAATAAAATTAACTTGAATAGTCTTCATTTTTTTTTGTTTTTAGAAGAAAGAATTCGTTTTTTTTCTATTCCAATATGCCGAATGTAACATTTGTGTTAGTTTCTGTTGGTATTGCTTTATCATTAATAACAGCAATATCCCTTATAATTGCAAGTTTGGGTCGACTTAATACAGATCAAAGTTTGTTTTAAATTAATTTATTAGTTAATTATTAATGTAAAATGTCATCTCTTAAAGTTGCCATTTCATATAATACAATTTCAAAAAAACTTGGTCGAACAACTCAAGCAGCTGGATTACATTTAAATACACCAGGCTTCAGATTTATTATATTTCCAAGTGTATTTACATCTATGGAATTTGATGATATATCAGTTTGTTTTTAATAAGAATTATGATTTTAGAAATATTTTTAAAGTTTTTATTTTAGTGTCTTAATCATGATGGTGTTTCGATTAATCTTGATGCTACGCTACAATTTCAAGCGGATCCAAACAATTTATATGATATTGTTGTACAATTTAAAGATTTTGAAGGATATAAAAGAATTCTTTATGCTACTGGTCGAGCAGCTGTTCATGATACATGTGCACAGTAAGTTTGAGAATTTAATTCTACAATTGTGATTACATATTAGAAAATGAAAAACAAAACGAACGATTCATGTCGATTAAAATCTGATTTTTTTCTAAATTAAAAGAAAATGTATTGTTTTACTATAATGAGTTAAGAATATGATGTCTCATTATTCAGAAACTATACGAAACAATACAATCACGTCTAATCTCAGCGCAAGATGATTCTAGAAATGAATTTTTCCAGACTTTTCTCAGTCTCATAGAGATCTAAACAATCAAAATAACAAGTTGAATGACGTACGACGGATGATATTTTGTTCTCTCGTCATCATGCCTTGCAGTTTCTCAATATCGATTTTTTATCCAGTTTAATAAGCTTACAGATAGTAAATGTTTGTATAGATTGATGATATAAACCAGTTTCATGTATTATACTTTTAAGACTTTATATGTTTCACATGCGAACATTTTATGTGTCTACTTTTGCTTAGGACATACGGGTAGTAGTGGTGGTAGAGGCACTCCTATATAATATAGAATGGTTGAAAAAAACTTTCTCTCTACATGCACTTATAGTAAAAATAATTCTCTATATTTTTTGAATTTTTCATCATGCTTCAACTAATATTATAGTAATAAAGTTTCGATAAGAGCTGTTTATTATAACACCTGATGATATTGTTTAAGTATTTTGAATGACTATTGATAGGATAAAAATGTATCGAATTGTATATTATTAGTTTTTCAAATATGTTGTTTAAATATGGTTTAGTCGATTGTTTAAAATAATGTCGAAAAATATATTTTTATCAAAGGAAAAAAGTAATAAAGTGATTTTTTTTTAAAAAGGAATTGAAAACTGTAATATACTATTCGATGAGTCTTCATCTCCTGTTTCTAATGATGAAAATCATAACTTATTATCTTGGTTCTATCAGAAGTTATTCAAAATATATCTATCTCACCTTTTTCTTTGAAATACGCTTTAGCATTTGCGTTACATATCATAACAAACAGCTCTTATCGGATTTTTTTTTATTAGGATATTAGTTAAAACATGACGAAATATAAAAGCATTATTTCTACTCTTAGCGGAGAAAGTTTTCTCAACCATTTTCTACGATATTGAAGGACCTGCTTTTGGTACTTCCTACGTATTTCTAAAACATGTTTTTCTTTTTCAACAATTTCAAATTTGTCTGTCTTAAGAAATAATATTGAATAGAGTAGCATATTATCTATTTCAAGACTTGTTTCGATTGATATCTTATTTCTGTATTATTCTAGAGGATACAAACATACATATGAAATATATAAGGCAAATAATCAGTTTGCATTATCTCTGATATCATGATTTTTTTTTTGATAGACAGTGTGAAAATTACTCCTCTATATTGAACACTATTCATTTTAGTTTTAATACAACTGCATTTCAAAGTATGAGAGGCTATTTTCAAATTAAATTACTCGAAGTAAATTAAAAATGATATTTAAATAAAAAATAGTTTCATTTTTGAAATTTTATTAGGAAATGAAAAGTACATTTAGTCCATTTTATGCAATTCTTCGAGATTTACAAGTAACAATTTTCTTTGATAAGTTAATATTTATTAATTATCTTTAAACAGGTTAATAATGTTCGTCGCCCAGGAGATTTTGAAACAGCTGTTAAAGATAAAGAAGCAGCAAAAGAAAATATTAAAGTTAGTTGTTTAGTTAAATTCATTTGTTTTTTATAAAAGAATACATATGGTAATAGATTGCTGAAAATGAACGACCAAAATTATTAACACAAGCTCGTACAGAATATCAAAAAGCATTAAAACAAGCTCAAATAATCAATGAACGTGCTGAGACAGATAGTAACATTATTTTAAATCAGTAAAATTGTGTTTGTTTTCTTAAATATACAATTTGTATGTGTCAATATTTAATATAGAGCTGATGCTGAAGCTCAAGCTGTTCGAGCACGATACTCAACTGAAACTGGTAATATGAATAAATATCTTGTTTTCTCTAAATAGTTTAAATGGTTTTAGATACATTTACATCATTAAAAAATAAAATGAGACTAAGTGTTGAAGCGCTTTTAAATTATATGGTAAGATGAAATAAATTTCATTTTGTTAATAAACAAAAAAAAACATGTTTATCATATATATTTAGGCTATTAGAGTCATTGGCTCATCAAAAAATGATGTTTATATTAATGTGAAATCCCCAGCACAAGTGAAATACGATTTATAAATCTCGATTTTTTTTTTGATACTTTATTTGATCAACTATTTTTTCTTTTATTACTAACAACAATAATCTTGAAAACAATATTATATTATGTGTGTTTGTTTTTTTTTCTTTCTTCTAACAAGATATCCTTAACAGATTCATGTGGATTATTTATCCATAGTTTACTTTTATTTTAGATGATGTCGAGAAAAAGAAAATTTTCTGAAAATAATAATGATGAACAAACTAATAAACAACGACAGCGAATGACTAATTATCATCAGAATAGTATTTTTCGTACGTAATTCATTCCTTCATAAGATAACGTGTAGATAGAAAGTTTTGAGACAAAATATTTGTTCATTTTTAGCTCTCTTGAAAGTGTTTCTGAGAAGTTAAAAGTTATGGATTATGACTAGCATATTGTACACTTTCTGAATAATAGGCTTAGAAATTTTTTTAAAAAATCCATCAAATTCGATGAAATGGTAACCCAACAGGCTTTCGATGACACTTATACAGTGAGCAATTGCTGTTGTATGCGTAGACATAGCTTATTTTCTGTTGAAAATATTTCTTTTTTGCATAGAAATGTTAACTTCTTGTACTCAAAAATAAAATTGATGAAAAAAAAGACTATTGGGGATAGAAGATCCCTAATGGTAACTCGTACTCTAAATTCTTGTGACCAAACTTTTTATTTTAAAAATTAAGTAAACGGTACATCATTCGTTTCAGTTGTTCGTGCTGGTTCAGAACATATCTTTTGTGGCAAAGAAAACTCGAAAAGTCAAGGTTTTTTAGAAAACCTGTATCTTAGTTCAGAAGCATTTTCGTATTTTTATGCTAGCTCAGTGTATGTCCCAGATATAGAAGAACATTGTCTGAAAATTTCATCGATATCGGGCTAATGGAAAAAAAGGAGCAGCCAAGTTCATTGAAGATGTCTCTTCAGAAAACGAATAATTATTTTTTCAGAACGAAAACTTTTATAAATCGATAAAATAAAAGTCATAGCTTCAGAGTATATATGATTTAATGTTCAACTCTTTAAAACATAATATCTTTCTTACTATAGTCATTTTACTAAGCTCTTGTTTCTTTACAAAACGCATTTTGGTCAAAAAGTCGATTATTCAAAAATGAGAATTTACGAAAAACGAAAAGTGAAACCACTTTTATAATAACCTCCAATGATACATTTTGTAGGGTAGCTTCTGCTCTACAAACTGATAGATCAATAAAGATGTCAATATTTACTTTCGAGTTGCAACAATGACAGTACAAAAGTGTACCGAAAAATTCTTCATCCAAACTATTGATCATCACAATGGTCTCAAAAAAATGTCCAAATCTACACTCGAAAAGACCACAAAATTTTGGACATAACTTATAGCTTTTGACTCTTTGGAAACATTTTCAAGGTAGTCAAAAATAAACAAACATTCTGTCTCAAAACTTTCGGTTTATCAGTTATTCATAGTCTTCATGATGCAATTTAGAAACAACACAACAAAAATTATATGATGGTTCAAAAAATTTCTTTCGAAAATTAAAAGATACTATAAAAAACAATGGTAAATCATTTTTTATTTAACCTTAAAAATCTAATAGAATATATATTTTTATCAGAACCAAACTCGCTTCAAATAAATTCATGTTGTTCATCAATGAATTGTGCAATACTAATCGTAGCAATTTGTGATTATTGTGAAAAACAATATTGTTCAAATCATCTCACGCAATGTTCTCAATGTAATAAGACATATTGTCTTTATTGTTCAACAAATATGTAAATTAATTTCATCAAAAATTCTTTATTATTGAGATTTATTTGTTTTCTTTTTTTTAGAAACAATGAATTATCCATCTGCTTAACATGTGTACAAAATGAATAATTTTCTTTTTTCTTTTTCTTTTTTTGTCTTTTACTCTTGTACTATGCATTTGTCTAATTAAGTTAATTTTTAGATAATGAGATAAAATTAATTTTGGAGTTATTTTTTTTATACTCAGCATGGCCCACGATGGTCAATGTGCTAAACAAGATTTTATTTGTTTATTTTCTTTTATTTACAACAATAACAACAATTAATAGTAATGAAATACCTTCTTGCAATATAACAACAAATATAGATGAACAAAAAATAAATGTAGAATATGAAACGAAAACGATACAAGATGGTAAGATTTATTTAATTTAAATTTTTTTTTTATTTAAATAATTATTTTTATAAGAATTTATTGTTCAATTTACTGGTTATTACACTGCAATAGCTCGAACAAATTATTTAATACGAATTTTTGAACGTAATAATATATCTTATTATGAAATAATTAAAAGAAATAATTTAATGCAACGTTATCCATCTGATTTTGATATTGTTCGAGTAGGTTCTATGTTTGACAAAAAATACATTTAGACAACTCACAAGAAAAGTTATCCAACTGATAAATCGCTTTCAAATCGCAACTATGTACATTATGTACAACAAAATGAGCTTTGAGTATCTTGAAAAGAGTTCGTGCCCTTAGCTTATTGTTGTGGAAATACTAAAGTTTTATGATATATTTTAAACTGAATGCCATAGTCTGTCTCAAGAATACCAGAAAAACTCGTTTTCGAATTTCGACTTGAAACTTTGCATAGAAACAGGTCCTAACGAGAATAGCTTTTTGTGAATGTTTTAGGTTTTCTCACTTTTTCTATCTTAACATACAACTATGATAATAGCGTGCAGAGATGGATCGGTTGGATCTACGTAATGCATATAGTCTCGATTCACGAGCGATTTATCAGTTACAGGACTTCTTTCATCAGATTCTTTCGATAGACAATGTTGGAGTTGTCGAATTTTATCGTTATGTATATTGAATAAAATTTTCTTCTAAATATAGTTTATTGGTAATGAACAAATAATTAATGCTCTTAAGAAACATCCACTTATTCGAGCTATTAATCCTCATCGACAAATTATTCGTCATATTCATTATTCCACTAGTTCGTATCGTTTTTCTATTGATAATTAAAAGAAATATTGGATTTGTTTTTCTAGTTGAAGATATTAATGAAATAGCCGGTAATAAAAGAAAATTACATCGTAGTCCACCAAATCATATTCGAATAGCAGAAAGTTTACAAGCACCAAAATTATGGAAAATGGGTCATCGAGGTTAATTTTAAAAAGAATGAAAGGATATTTTTTAATATTATTTTTTGCATTGATAATCTAGGTAATGGTATTCATGTAGCAGTATTTGATACAGGTATTCAAGATGGTCATCCACATTTTCCTAATATTGCTGAAGTAACAAATTGGACTGATGAAAAGAATGATCATGATAGTATGAAAATATTTTTATTTGAATAAGTATACTCATTTAAACATTTCTTTTTTAGCTATAGGTCATGGATTGTTTGTTGCCGGTGTTATCGGCAGTAATAGCGAATGTTTAGGTATTGCACCAGAAGCACAATTACATATATTTAAAGTATTTACAAATAATCATGTATGACTTCGATTTTCCTTAGTTTTTTGTTTATAAAACAAGAAAAAAAATGTTTAGATATCTTACACATCTTGGTTTCTTGATGCTTTTAATTATGCTATTGTAAAAAAAGTACACGTACTGAATTTAAGTATTGGTGGTCCGGATTTTATGGATCAACCATTTATTGATAAAGTATTGATTTTTATGTTGCTAAAATTTGATTGAAACACGATTTTTTTGTATAGGTTTGGGATTTAACTTCGAATAGTATTATTCTTGTTTCAGCGATTGGCAATGATGGACCTTTATATGGGTAAATAGTCTAACATTGTATGCTTTATATTAGTGAATGAATATGTTTTTCTATAGCACATTAAATAATCCTGCTGATCAAATGGATGTAATTGGAGTTGGAAGTATAACAATAGATGATGCTATATCACGTTTTTCATCTCGAGGAATGACAATATGGGAGGTAAGATATCATTTTCATATTCAATTATAGTTTGCAATTGTGAACGATGATTATAATGTATCGGAGACACCTTCTTTTGTATATTGAAAAAGCATTTTTTTGGAGAAATTATTTTTCTATATTTATTGGTTTTTCAAACTTTGATCTTACAGAAGAACCTATTCAAGTATCAAATCGCTTTTCAACCGATATAATGTTTATTTGATGAGTGGTAAAAAAAAAAGTCTAGAGTAGTTTGGTTTTCTGAACCTTCATTGTCGAAATATCGATATTGTATTGGGCTTTTCAACGACAAGGTGTAGTTTTCCTCAGATGTTACGTGAGAATATCTATCTTGAGACATTAAATATTCGAAATTCTTTCATGCAAAAAAGCAAATTTTGTTCATATATTCACATCTCTAGAAAAGGAAATCTTAGTTGCAAAATCAACTATTAATCTCATTAAGAACTTTATTTATGTAAAGTTCGAGGTCGACACTCGAAAGTCAATTTTCTACATGATCTGAGGCGAGAAGCACAACTTTTTGTTGAAAAACTCAGTAAAATTTTTATACTTCACCAACGAGTGTCCAGAACACCAAACGATTTTATATCAGAAAACTTTCCTCATTAGATCAGAATCGTTGAGAAATAATTTTGCACACTGTTTCAATGAATTTTGAAGAATTGTTTTCTTTTTATTAGCTGCCAGCTGGTTATGGCCGAATGAAGCCTGACTTAGTAACATATGGTTCACTTGTAAGAGGTTCAAATCTTGTGTCTGGTTGTAAAGTTTTATCAGGAACAAGTGTTGCATCACCCGTTGTTGCTGGTGCTGTTGCTCTTTTAGCAAGGTTTGTATTTATATAAAATATTTTTGTTATTTATACTTAAGATATTTTCTTTAAAGTTCTGTACTTCATCGTACACCAAATATAATTAATCCAGCTACTTTGAAACAAGCATTATTAGCATCTGCACAACGTATTCGACATGCTAATATGTTTGAACAAGGACACGGAAAATTAAATTTATTACGTGCATTTCGTATTCTTAATCAATATGTTCCACAAGCATCGTAAATAATAATTTTATAATATTTTTTGTTAAAAATATCTTTATTATATAGATTAAGTCCATCATATATTGATTTTACAGAATGTCCATATTTTTGGCCATATTGTTTACAACCACTTTATTATAGCGCTATGCCAATTATTGTTAATATCACAATTATAAATGGAATGGACGTTGTTGGTGAAGTTTTTGGACAGGTAATTATTAGAATTAATCACTTTAAAAAAATGAAGATCATGTTTTTATAGCCTAAATGGCATCCACAAGATTCATATGGTCAATATCTTGAATTATCATTTGAGTTTTCATCAAAATTATGGCCATGGTCAGGTTATCTTGCAATATCAATGACTATTCATCAGAATGCTTCAGAATTCGAAGGCATAGTTCAAGGTCACGTTACATTAACTATTGAATCACCAGCAAAAGTAATAAGGAAAAAAATGTTTCATTTTTGTATTAGTGAACATTTTTTGTTTGGTTTAGGATTCAGAAAGTTTAATTCAACGAAGTGATTTAGTTTTACCAATTCGTGTTCGTATAATTCCAACACCAATACGTTCTCATCGTATACTTTGGGATCAATATCATTCGATTGGTTATCCACCTGGGTATTTTCCACGTGATGATTTAAGACAAAAAAATGATCCACTTGATTGGAATGCTGATCATATTCATACGAATTTTCGTCATGTTTATGAACATTTAAGAAATGCTGGATATTTTATTGAAGTATTAGGAAAACCATATACATGCTTTGATGCTTCTCTTTATGGTAATCATGTTTTTTTTTCTACTATAAGAGCGACTTTATTTCTTTTTTGTATTTAGGAACTTTATTAATTGTTGATCCAGAAGAAGAATTTTTTGTTGAAGAAATTTCTAAATTACATAATGATATTGTAAATAAATCTTTATCACTTATTGTATTTGCTGATTGGTATAATGTATCTGTTATGAGGCGTGTACAATTTTTCGATGAAAATACTCGACAATGGTATGCAGAAAAAATTTCTTTAGAAAAAATTTTTGTTTTTCTTTATATTATAATTTAAAGGTGGTTACCAGAAACCGGTGGTGCTAATTTACCAGCATTAAATAATCTTCTAAAACCACTTGGTATTGCTTTAGGTGATACTGTTTTAGAAGGAAATTTTGATCTTGGAGAACATATGATTTATTATGCATCAGGTAAAAAAACAAGTTTCTTAAATTTTTTTCGTTGTTTTCATTCGAAATTTCATTTATTTGAAAAAGAAAAAATATTATAAAACCGTAATAAACGGCAGAATACTATCAATACTATAGTTCAAGTATCTTTCCCTCTAGACAATATGCCACTAATTAATTTTACGAATAGGAAAGTGTAGAAAGTAGGGTTGAATAAAAAGGTCAGTTCCTGAAGTATTAATTGACTCGATGAAAGCGTAAATGATTTGCAATATTGATTAATAAAAAGAATAAAATCACTTGAGTTAGACGATAGGAAAGAAATTTAAATGATGTAATGAATGACAGATATAAACAGAAAAAAACAAGTTATAATTATTTTTCAAAATAAACTGACTATTCTTAGTACTACAGTACTATTTAAAAATATATGGTCAACGTACGTTTTTTTTTGTACGATGGCAGGTATTTATTTCAAAATCAAATAGTGGTTTGAATAGTCAATGAAGTTCTCTATCGAAATTTCGTAGATGGAGTAGGAGAGAAAGATTTTGTGAAAAAACAAATAAAATGAAAAGTAATTGAATTTCCTACAATATTTTCTTAAAAATTATAAGTATCACAAAAATTAAATGAAAAAAAAAGTAAAATTTCTTATAGTCTTGCTAAAAAATGCTTATAAATTTTTAAGGGAAGGCCGTAAGAAATGTGAGGAACCTGAAAAGTACCATGTTTGATTTTTTACAAACCCCTCCTGTCATAGCCCATCTATGAAATTTTGATAGAGAACTTGATTGACTATTGAAATCACTATTTGGAATTAAGCTAAATGCTTAGTAGTATACAAAAAATTAATAATATGTTTGTATCATATTTTTGATCAGTAGTGTACAAATGTAAGTTGCATTTTCATTGATTATCAGCAAACTTTATTATATTCCAATCATGCACGAATGTTTTTTTTTTCATAGGTACACATATCGTTCGATTTCCAGCTGATGGTTATTTAATCTATCGTCCGTTAATCGATCAAGGTGAAGCAATATTACGAATGCCTGGTTCTTCGCGTATGCCTCAACAACGTCATTTAAATCTAGAAGATCATGAAAATCGCGTAAAAAACCAAATAGATATTGAATCAATAGTTAAAACTAGTCCTATTTCAATGCCAATTCTTGGTCTTGTAGAAGCATCTGGTGGTGGCCGTGTAGCAATTTATGGTGATTCAAATTGTATTGATTCAGTACATCTTGTACGTGATTGTTATTGGCTTTTACTTGCTTTATTAGAATTTACAACATCAAGTCGTGTACCAAAATTATTTTTACAATTAGATGAAAATCGACAAATGGATTTAGATGTACCTGACCTTGAAAGATTAAATACAAGTCGTTTACATAAATTTTCTCGTGTTATTGAAAAAAATGATATAGATAATACAAATAAACAAAAAGAATTACCAAAATGTTTTATTAATAAACCTGTTAAACCATCCGAACCATTGATGATTAATACAGTATCACAAAAGTAAAAATATTTTTCTATTTATTTAAATTAATATAAATTCGTTTTGTTCTTTTAGTAATATAATGAAATATCAAAATCGTTTAATATCAATTGAAGATGACAGTATTGATAATAATGTTGTAATTGATCATAGTGAAACATCATCACATTTAGTCCGAGCTTTTTTTACATTACAAAATCCAATATTTATCCCATCATTAGTAGGTTCAATAGGTGTTTTTTTTGTTTTTATTATATTATGTCGATCACGACTTTATCGTATGTTAATTTTTATATTATGGGGAAATGGATTTTATTATAGAAAATCACCTAATTCAAGATTAAAGCCAATGTCTAAAAATCGACAATATCATCTAATTTCATCATTGAGTAAACCATAAAAATAACAGTGATTGTTCTTGTCTTGTTTTTTTCTTATTATTTGTTTGTTTTTTATATAATTTCTTTAAAAATATACTTGTTTGTTTTGCTAATACAATATAGTTGTTTATTTAAAATATTATGCTTGACATCAGACAAACTTAGAAACATTAACAAAAACAGGATTTTTTAAGATTTCAAATATATAAAGATCGATATTTTCAGATATCTTATAAAGTTTTTGTGATATTTAAAGAGTAACTATTTGATACAAATTATTCTAAAAGGCTCTATAGAATTGACAAATATATATGAAGATAAAATATGTGAAAAATCAATATAGAAATAAAATAATAATGAGAATCGTATTTGCTGCTTTTTTTTATTCTCATTCTTTTTTCTATTCGGTTGACATGATCCACTTTCTATCGTACTTATTCATGTGTATTCGAGCATTACTTTACTTAAGGTTTAACATTGACACGAAAGGTTTCACCTTGCTTTCTTTTTACAAGAACATTTCATATTTGATCTATTCGTATTATTGAACTTACTTATTACATTTAAGATATCCGGCATAATTTTTTCCATTATTTTTTTCGTAAAATAACTAAAACTATTTTGAAGTATATATGATCTAAATCAAAAGTTGTAAGGCATGGCAAAAAAATGATGACCTGTCTAATTTACCCAGGAATGGTCTCGGCCATGTCCTATGTCACTCATGGTAAGAAAACTACTAAACTTAACCCTGAAATTGAGAGGTACAGAATTTGCTTCAAAAAATGAAAAATTTGTTCTGCTATCAAAATGAAGGAAAATCTGGATTCAATTTTGGGTTTTTCACTTAGTGCGTAGATAAATGATGAAGAAAATTCTTTATTATATTTATTATTCATGTGTTGTTCGTTTGATGTGGAAAAAAAATGTATAATTGGAAGATTTTTTTACTTCGATTGATGTAGACAATCGTTATACACCAAAACAAAAAAGAACCAGAACTTTTATTTCTAAATAAATGTTGTAATATCATTTTTCTGTGACCATTAAAGCAATACGTTCAAGTACTGCAAGTATTGATTTTGAAGAAAACATTTTTGATGAATCTATATCTAACAAATGAGGCAAAAGAAATGTACGAGAAGCATAAGAACCTAATTGTTCAAATAGACAAAGAATAGCATAAATCACAGAAGATGGAGTGCTTGAACTAGTAAGTGAATAAATAAGTCGTGAGATAATACGAGTGTAAAAAATGTCATAGACGAGAAAATTTGAACGTTGTAACATTTTAACACATGCTTGAGCAGCTAATAAACGTAGTGACCATACATGACCAGTATCAACAGCAGATTTCATATCATAGTCATTGTAATCTAACGGTTCATCAACCTTAAATATACAAACAAAGAGTAAATCTCTATAGTTTCATTCTATCTAACCTCAAATTCATACAATAGACAAGTCATAATCATCGGTGATAGAATATGCAAATAATGATTAATAGTTACTAATGAGTTTTGAAGTAGACAATCAATAATAATAAGATGAGAAGCAAGTTGACGACGTTTCTTTAATCGACAACTATGCATAAGACACTCACAAATATTATTTCGGCACCATTCAATAAGATGTGAAAGAATAGTATCTAATGCAATTTGATCATAACGTAATAAGTTCCAAATTTCTTCATTAAAATTCTTTGATTGAAGAAAAACTAAATATAATTGTTGTTCAATATTTAATATTGACTTATTAAATACTGATAATTTTATTTGAGAATATTTTTGTTCACCAGCTATAGCTAACCATTCGACATGAAGAAGAATATTACTACAACAAACAATACTTTTTTTTCGAACTTTTTCCAATTGAAAATTCTTATTTTGATCTGCAGTACTAAAATAGATAATTTTCTTTCATTATATTATCTTTCAAAAATCATTCGATTACTTTATATTAGTTAAATGATTCTGATTCAAATTAATTGTTGCATCAACTTGAACAAATAATGTACGTCCAAGTTGATGTGTAGTTTCAAACAATGATGATTTATCTGTATTTATTGAACAACAATAACCATATAATGGAGATATAGCTCGACATTTAAGTATTAATTTTAAGTCATCACCTAATAATCGAGTTCGTTTGGATCGTAGTGCAATCGAAAATGATTGTTGAATAATTTGTGTGACTATGGCATGAAGATTAGACGAAAGATAATCGAAACACTCATGTGACAGAGATAATGAAGAACCAAATATAAGTTCACAGACAAAGCGAAGCAAATCAAACATGTAGCAATGATAATGAGATTTGGCTCACCCGCCAATACACATCAATAGCGAGTGTTACATAAGTTCTAAATCTTTATAAAAATTATTTTAGATGCAGACACGGAATGATCTCTAACTGAATATACTGATATGAAGTTTCAGTAATTGGGTCGACATTTCGCATGATACTGTATTGGAGGACATCTTTTTTTATAAGAATAATAAAATGACAATAACAATACAATGCTCAATTTTTCGAAAGCGATCAATAAAATTTTTTTAGTAAGAAAAATAAAAACATTACATTTGACTGATTCAAATGATAAGTTGATTGCACGAAAAATGTCAACTAACTATCATAGATTATTTTTCTGTACTCTATGTTCAATCTACTTTTTAACTATACAAAAATTTGAAAATACTCTCCCTTATATTTTTAAATAATCAATCAAAAAATATATATAGAATAAGCAATTTAAAACGAAAGAAAGATATGAATAATGTTTGCAAAATGAAAATTTTTCATTCTGTACAATATTTTGTTATTTGTTGGACATAGAGTATGTTCATGTACTTCTATTCATTTTACACCATTTATTCAGGATACGCCCATGGCAAGTCTCAAATAGGCGTTCACGATAATGTCTCATTAGTTTCTACTGTACTCTTTATCTCCAACACGTTCTTCCCTTTTAGTAAAAAAAAGAATATCTCGTTGGTCCATTTCGATTCATTAAACTTTATATTCATATATTTGTATTAATATTCTTACAAGAGAAAATGTCATTCAATATTATGTCATTTGAATGTTCGATACGAATATTCAAAACTCATATAGATGTATTCAGTGAGAGATCATTCCTTGTCTGCATATAAATTAATTTTTGTCGAGACTCAAAACTTGTGAAATACCATATATGAAGAAGTACAACAAAAACTAATTTACTTCTTATCTTTTATTTTTCTAAAATCAAATGTTATCTATTAGACAACAAAAAAAAATATTGTTAACGATCTTTTCTTGAATCTACTGTTTCCGTTAATGGTGTTTTCGGCTGGTAAACAGCCCGAGCATTATATGGCTTGTTTCGTCTTTCCCATGGTGGTACAATAGATCGATGTCTATTGATTGGATAAACACCAGGACAGTTAGGATAAATACCAGGAGGAAAAGCAATAGGTCGTGTTGTTTGTCTAGACTTCTGTTGATGGAACTCTAAATTAGTATTAACATTAAAACCATCCCATGTTATTCCATCACCTTCTGGTTTATGTGTACTTGGCAAAAGAACTCGCCGAATAAATTCACCTATGGTACGAACACCAAGAAATCGTTTCCAATTTTCTATGAAACCGAAATCATACGGATTAACAAAAATAAAGCCTTGCTTATAGCATTCATGAGCATAGTTGAAATTAAGTACACGTTCAAGTGATGTCACACCATTACCTATCATTCGTCCATGCCAACAAATAAGACCAATTATCATAATACCACATGTTAATGCAGCAATAAATATATGATATGTTATAAAACCAACTATTCCCATTGTATCAAGAATAACAAATGGTTTAAAAAGTGAATCTTTATAAAAGAATCTAAAATATATGACAGAATAAAAGAAAGAAGGAATTTCAATATTATTTACGCTTGTTCTCCAAGTAGACTAATTTGATATTCATGATAACCAAAAAAGCCAGCATATATGCATCCAATAGCCATAAAACTACAAAATTGAAAAAAATATCGATGATTATAAAAACCAACACAGCTATTGAGCCCTATTTAACAAAAACAAAGTTTTATAATATAAATTCAATTTAAGTTTTAACAAGTCTTACATGGACAATGATGATCAAATTTTAAAATACATGCATTACACCAACTACAATGATGAGTACGAGGTGGTTTATTCATTGAACATTTTTTGCATTTAGGATATTGTGTTGCTAAATTTTGATAATCTTTAGCTAGACCAGGTGAAGATAACCATGCCATAATATAATTAAAATAAATATTTATTGCAAGCCAATTACCGAATAGAAAGTGAGAAATAAATTTTTGATACTCTTTTCTATTAAGTACACTTGGAGCAATTGTTTCATAAAAGACATAAACAACATAAGTTGTCAATGTAAAAAAGACAAATATACAAAAATAACCTATAGATAATGATAATGTTCTACATGTTCGAACACTCCATGCCATTTTGTATAAATATCAAGTTTTGTTATAAGTTTATTGTGTATAATATAAGACACCAGTATACTTGTTAACCAACTTATTACAGTATAGGGGTATATCGACACATCTTTTTCTTTGATATACATGAGACACGGTTGATCGATTTTCAAAAGTAAACGAAAAAGGAAAAAAAGAAAAAGAAAAAGAAAAAGAATACAAATGGTCGATTTCATATATTATGCAAATAGAAAGATGAGTGATACGATAGTATTCATTTAGCTATTAAACTCTCTTGCAAAAGTTCGAATTAAATAAAATTATTGATTGATAGCTGAAAGCTATTTTATAGATTATTGATACTTCATTATAATACAGTGGTACGTTTCTGTGTTACACTAGTTTTAAAATGCATGTAAACGAACTACAGGATATACTTTCCACTATCAACCGTAAGAGTTGTAAAAGGTGTGGGTGTGAGTGTCTGATCAAAGTCACATCTACAAGCACACGTACATCCACCCACACATCCCACACCCATACCTTATGAGCAGAAAGATCT